ACGACACCACCTCAAATGATCCAATTTGATCAAATAAGATGTAGACTCTTAATGTTCGCGATGTTCCAGACGCAATGGTGCTGTCCGTTTGTCAATCGGACTTCGTTTGATCATCGTCGAGGCTAATCTTCCTCGAAATGCGTGCCTTTGCAATATATTTGAATCGCATTTGAAATTTACGACGCTACCTTAAATGATCCAATTTGATCAAATAAAATGTAGACTCTTAATGCCGACGACGTTCCGGACGCAATGACACTGTCCGTTTGTTGATCTGATATCGTCCGAGCGTAGAGATAAATTTCCTCGAAATGCGTGCCTTCACATCATATTTGAAATTAATGAAATTCTACATAAGATTACATATGTGATTCTCCCCTTGATACATATTTTGACACTACAAGCCTCCTCGACATTTTTATTACTTTGAAGAAGCTTGATTCTTAAGTGGCAAGAATCATTCATATGCTCTGACTCCCCAATTGAACAAGATAAAGGCTTGCAAATATTTAAACGTCCCGATCTTTTCTCTCTCCCTTTTTTTTTATGTTTGGGATTTGAAGTTCGAACGGGCAAGTGTCAAATGATCTCAAAAATTTTGTGAGATGACTCTTCATCATCCATAAGTTTACCACATCCCTTCTTCCGATATCCTCCTTAGTCATTCCTTGAGATGGCTGAATGATACCCAATGCAGTCCATATTCAAATTAAATTATCTTTATAGAATGTATGATCTAGTGGAAACATACAACAAAGTGCAAGATAATTTTGTAGATGCCTTGGGAGGAACATGTAACTTAATCTTAAGATGGGAAATATGCCATTTTGACTCAATTTTGTGCAATTATCAATGCAATTGAGCCCATTCGAGTTGTTACAAAAATTATACTACCAAAACTCCCATAGGCTAAAAGGGATGAGCACCTTCTCCCGTTTACTTTTATTTTCCTTTTTTTTATCATTCTCTAAATGTCATCCAGCACAAGTAAGAACCTTTGGACATTATCTCAGTCCAAAGACTATCTTGAAGTGTCTCAAGTGCCTCCCAAACAAGGCCTCTCCTTCTTAAGAGATTCCAACATATATATAATGACTTCCCCTTCTTTTTTTTTTAACATCAAAGCTATTGGAAACACAAACCCACATTTTAAGTCAGATTCCATTGCCATTTCATCTTCATAAATACTTTGCAAGAGAGTTGTCTTTCCCATACCAGCATGGTCTACTATAGATATAAGAGAAATGTTTATGTACCAACTTGTTCGAGGCTCATTTGATGGCTTCCTTAACCACTACATAACGAACTCTTTAGCCTTGTCTCTATCGATGCGATCATCTGTAGGCAAGGATCCCGCGGTAAGGGTCAACAGTTGTACTGCTTTGAAGAGGAAAAATCAAAGACTAAGAAGTCCAACAAATCTTGTTGTTGACGTTGGGAGTCATAATTAATGTCAATGGTATGAAATAATCTTATAAGTGATGTTGTGTGTTAATATTGTTAGTGATGGTAGGAGATAAAATCAATAGGCATCAGTATAATTAATCAGGCAACAACGATCAAAGGATTGTACATTGGAGGATTGTAGTCAAATGGCATTGATCGAATGACTGTTATCGAGCGAAGGTACTTGAAGGCCCTTTTCATAGTTAGATGATGATGGTTGAAGGACTATAATTGGGTGGTAGATTCACAGAATTGTAATCAAGCACTGTTCATAGTGTTGTCTCTTTAAAGTCTGGATGTGTGTTCAATATGTGATGTTTGTTTGGACTATGGATACATATTTTTACTGTATTCTTGAAAGATTTCTTGAAATTCTAGTTTTTATTATTGATTAGACTGGTCCTTAACTTGATGCATTTGCTTTCAAGCTTAATATATTAGATTATTTTTCAACAATTGCAAGCTTTTTTTTTTTTTTTTTTTTTTTTCCTTTTTTTTAGTTTTTCTACCGATCTTCTTGTATAATCGTTTTATATTGAAATTTTTTCACCATTTAATGAAAATTAAGCATAATTATCCCTAATTTTTCCCAAAAAAAAAATCTTCCTCCTCTTCTCATTCTTTCTCTTACCCCCTCATATATCTGGTCCCTTTTTTTAACTATATTAATATCGATATTTAGTACCACATTGTATAATTTTAAGCTCCTCTACGTTCGGTTTTTAGACCAAAACAGTCTGCAATACCGAGTTTTTTAGAAAAAACTCGGGTATGCGCTGTTTTGATCTAAAACCGAACGTAGAGGAGTCGATAAAATAAAAGTTCCCGCTTAAAAAAACTCGGTATTGCGCTGTTTTGGTCTAAAACCGAACGTAGAGGAGTCGGATAAAATAAAAGTTCCCGCTTAACAGGCTG